CTTGAGCCCAGGAGTTTGAGGTTGCTGTGAGCTAGGCTGACGCCACGGCACTCTAGCCTGAGCAACAGAGTGAGACTATGTCTCAAAAAAATTAAAAAAAAAAATAATAATTCAGGTGTGGATTCTAGCACTTTGTAAGGCTGAGGCGGAAGGATTGGTTGATTTCAAGACAAGCCTGAGCAAGAGCGAGACCCTGTGAAAGGGTGGAAATTAGGTCCTCACAGCAGGTGGAGAAATATTTCTCACACACAGTTTAGGATAGAAAGAAGTACAAAGTTTATTTATTTTCCAGAGAGAGAGAGAAGGAGGAAATGGCCACAGCACACAGGGGGAGGAAGTGTAGGGTGCTGAAGAGAAGTGGCTCTATGTTTTTAATGGGTAAAATAGCTTTTTTTCCCTCTGCTTCAGCAGACTGATAACAGACACAACTGCGAAGCTGTTGTAGGTGCTCTTTATTTTTTTCTCTTTTCTCTGTGAGGCCAGCTTTATCAGAGTCCTTGGAATCTGGTTTTTGGCAGGAACAGAGGCACAGAGCTGGTGCGGGGAGCTTGTACCCCTACTGTCCGCTTAGGGCTCCTCAAGGCTATGAAAGAAACCCTTAGAGATAAGAGTTAGGCCACGGGTGTTTAAAACAAAACAAAGGGGGTAGTTGTGTTGTGAGTTTTTTCTTCAAAGGGGCATTTATGTGCTGTGAGTTTATTCGTCTTTCTTTCTGTTAGTTTATTTTCCTCTGTTAGGTAGGTTATTAGTAAGGCCACCTTTCATCCAGTCTCTACATAAAATAGAAAAATTAGCCAGGCGTGGTGGCATGCACCTGTAGTACCAGCTATTCGGGAGGTTAAAGCAGGAGGATCACTTGAGCCCAGGACTTTGAGGTTGCTGTGAGCTATGATGTGAGCCAGGACGATAGAGCAAGACCCTGCCTCAAAAAAAAAAAGAAAAAAAAAACCTCAGGTGTGGGTAATTCAGGCTGGAATAGGGGCCATGAAGAGGTGGGTAGCAGGTAGGTCAGTTAGGCCCTGGAGCGAGAGAGCCACGTCCTGGGCTGAGAAGAAGAGTTGACCCTGCAGCGAGAGGGGTTGGAGTAAATTGGATACGTAGCTCAGAGTGCACACAAACACACACTCACCACCATCTCTTGCCTCTGTATCACTTTTAGTCATGTTGCATCTGTTCTCTTCCAGGTTTCTGTTTGGAGACAGGCCTTTTTGGTGGGTCCATGAGTCTGGGTACTACAGCCAGGCTCCAGTCCAGGTTCACCAGTTCCCCTCTTCTTGTGAAACTGGTCCAGGTGGGAAGCCACAAACCTTCTCCCTTTCCCGCTGTGGTTAGGGTTCGGGTGAGCGTTTCAGAGTACTTTTCATCCAGGGTGACCCAACCGGAGGCCCAGCCTCTCAGTTACTGACCCGGAGAACAAAGAAACCCCAGGAAGACCAAGTTGAGTTACGGGAGGAGGGCACCCATGCCATGTCTCAGCTGTTCACCTTCTACAGAGTAGAGCCAAGAGACACATGTCAGGGCAGAAGCCTGAGACCAGTGGCCTCAGGTGGGCATTAAAAAGACTTCAGGGTAGAGGGAGCTGTGGATCAGTGTTGGGGGAAAGTTCTCTTCTCAGCCAGGGGCAAGTAGCTATGTTGCAGTATGACCGGGGCACCTGGGTTCCCCTTCCATCCTCTCACCATGAGCTTCCTTGGCAGGCAGCCCTTCTGGACACTGCATGATCACAGGAGCAGCCCTTTGGCCCATAATGATGGCCCTCTCTTCCCAGGTGGCCACTCGGACCCGCAGGTATACCCTTGGCATTGCCCACCATTGGGAGCAGGGGTGGTGGCACCCAGGACCCAAAAGACCCAGTAGTATGGCAGCCCGGGAACTGGAGTTCTGGGGAGCCTTGGGTATTTGGTCAACCATAAAGTGCCTGGGTGTTGAGGGAAGCCACGCTGTGTATGGACACCCCCTAGGCTGTTTGCCTCTCTTCTTTCTAGCCGCTGGGTAAGGATGATACCTAGCCTGGCTTATTGCACCTTCCTGTTGATGGTCGGCCTGTCCCGGGTCTTCATCTTGGCGCATTTCCCTCACCAGGTGTTGGCTGGCCTAATAACTGGTGAGCAACTGGGGCAACAGGGTGGGCCGAGAGGGTGCCTTCAGCAGAGGGAAAACCAGTCTAGGATCTTCCCAACATTCCTAGTTTCTGTAGAGCCAACCCCAAAGGCTCCCCCTTATGTCTCAGTCCGTTCTCTTGCCAAGCTACACTGCAGATGGGGGTGGGGTGTGGGGAGGGTCATAACTCCTTGAAGCTGTTGTCACTCCACTCCCCTAGGTGCTGTCCTGGGCTGGCTGATGGCTCCCCGGGTGCCGATGGAGCGGGAGCTAAGCTTCTATGGGTTGACCGCGTTGACCCTCATGCTGGGCGCCAGCCTCATCTATTGGACCCTCGTTACGCTGGGCCTGGATGTTTCTTGGTAAGCTCGCTTTGAAGCCCGGGCAGGCTGGGGCAGGTCCTACCTCACCTGTACCTAGCCTGGTTGGTCTCTGGTTCATTGTAGCTAAAAAAGGACACATTACCCGTTCACAAACATAGACCCTTCTAGGGACAAAGCAGAACATGAGAGTGGACCCCAAAGGCCAGATGGCTAAGAGCCAGTGGCCCTCTAGGTTCCAGTCTCTCCTGGCAAGGACTCTTCTTTCCCACAGGTCCATCAGCCTAGCCTCCAAGTGGTGTGAGCGGCCCGAGTGGGTGCATATGGACAGCCGGCCCTTTGCCTCCCTGAGCCGCGACTCAGGGGCTGCCCTGGGTCTGGGCATCGCCCTGCACTCTCCCTTTTATGCCCAGGTACGGCGGGCACAGTTGGGGATTGGCCAGAAGATAGCCTGCTTTGTGCTGGCTATGGGACTGCTGGGCCCCCTGGACTGGCTGGGCCACCCCTCTCAGGTCAGCCTCTTCTACATCTTCAATTTCCTTAAGTACACCCTCTGGCCATGCCTGGTCCTGGCCCTCGTGCCCTGGGTGGTACACATGTTCAGTGCCCAGGAAATACCACCCATCCGCTCTTCTTGACTTCTCGTGCCTCTTTCTGCCCTTTCGCTCCGAACACTCTGGGACCACCACACCCCAGGAGGCAGCCCCAATCCCTTCGAGCCCCCAAGCAGGCCCTGTTCACCCTAAGTTTCTTGCTTCTCCCACCACCTGGTCTAGGCCCCAAAGAAGAGCCTTCCTTCTCCCAGAGAAGCTGGTCCTCCTCCTGCCTTTCCTCCTAAGTCACCAAAGAGCAAAGGCAACAGCACGACCAGCAGGTTCCTGCAACGCTGTGAGGGGTAGCCAGGGCAGCCCCAATAAAGCCCCCAAACAGTTCTGGATTCCTTTCTTGCCTGTGCACACATCTCCACTGAGCTTGCCTGCATGTGTGCAGGTGGAACCCTTGGCAGGCCACCTGTCTATGCCCTTTTCAGGGCATAGACAGAGGCAGAGGAAAGGGGCGGGCTGTAAACTCAACTGAGACCTCTCAGCCCCATTCCCCCTCCCCACTCATCACCACCTAGGCCACACAAGATGTCCTGTTAGATGCTGTGGCTACATTCACCTTGTCTTTCACCTACAGGACAGATCACCCACCCTGGTGTCCTATTTCCTAAATTGGCTTCCAGTCCCCGGGCTGGAGAAAAGAATAATTTTCTTGGCTAGGAGCGGGGATGAGAACCTCTACTCCATTTGGGAGCCCAGAGAACAGAGACGCTGGCCCCAGAAGGCACTGCCAAAAACAAGTTTATTTACACAAAGACACACAGTTTAACGGGTTACAAAATCCTTAACTGAAATCCATATCCGGGGAGACAAAGCAATGAGTGGGTTTACATGAGAACCAGACCAGCCGCGGGGGGGGGGTGGGTGGTAAGGGGCCCAGAGCCTGGGGCTCAGCGCGGGGAGGCCTGGTACGCTGGTCCTAGCCCCATCCCCATCCCCCAGGAGGATCTAGAACACACAACATACAAGTGTGCAATGAACCAATGATGGTGGGACTCCTGCCCCTCCCCTGGCTCCCTCAACCCTGCTCAGGCCCCCATTAGGATAATAAATATGTAAACTGATTGGTGGGACCATGGGGATGGGAGAAGAGGAAGTATATGTGGTCTTGGGGAGGAGGAAGGAGGAAGAGTCAGCCCCCCAGGAGCCACTTCCCATCTTTGGTTTCCTGCGGGCTGGCTGGACAGCATTCCCTGGAAGCCTTGTGGGCCCTCCGCCCCTGGAAACAGAGAGGGCTCTGCAGGGCTCCTGGGAAGGCAAAGGGGCAGTACCCAGCCCCCTCCTGGACTTAGTTCCCTTGGGCTGGTGGCCAGCACAGGGAGCCCAGGAAGAATGGAAGCTCCAGCTGAGGGCCAACTTCTAGGTCCCTGGGTTCTGGCCTTCTAGAACCCCGACTCTCACCATCACCAAGCTCCAAAGCACAAGGCCCCAGGAGGGAGGTGAGCCACTGACCTTACTACCTGCAGCAGGCTGGGTGGCTGGGGGATCTGGTCCTGAACAGCACAGGGGCTCTCACCAGCTGGAGCCCCCCTTGCAGGGACCACCTTCTCCCCCTCCCCAGGCCGGGCCAGCAGAATAAGGTGGGAGCGGGCCTAGTTCTGCGGCTCCCCCTGGTCCCTCCTTCCCACACACTTTCACCCTCTCAGCCCCTGGGAAGGAAGAGAGGGAGAAGGAGAACGGCAGGGTGGGAGCGCACCTCCCCTCCACTCTGCATCTGAGACAGTGGCGGCCCTGCAGATCCTCCGCAGAGGCTGGAGAGGGGAGGATGAAATTAAGGCATTTTCCCCCAAGTCAGCTGAAACCAAGGCACTGACTGACTGTTCCCTCCTCACTCGGGGGGCCCAGAACTGAAGGGTACTGTCTGGACCCCTGTGCCCACCTCAAGCTGGCCCAGCCTCCAAGGGGGAAAGGACAGAATGCAGGAAAGTGGGTTTAGGGTATAACGTGGCGGGGGCTGGGAAGAGCACCCCATCCCCACAGAGGGAGCGCACTTCTAGAGCTGAGACCTGGGCCACAGGCAGGGGGCCTGAGGCAGCTTAGAGGAGCAGGAGGGGCGAGGCTGAGAGACCCACACGCACACGTTGTTGAATGTGTGACTTTTTGTTTTTAATAGAAAAAATAAACAAAATCACAATGATGGAGCCCAGAGGGATGGGGGCCAGGGTGTCACAGGGCAGGCTCCTGCTCCATGGGCTCCTCTGCCGGCCTATGGGGACAAGCACAGGGGAGGGAATTGAGCAGGGGTACCAGCCTGGGCAAGGGCAGAGAGGTGGGGGAAGGGGTCTCACCTGGGGCTGTGCTCCCGGGCTGCAGCAGCCTGCACCTGCTCGGCCCCCACCGACAGCAAGGCCATGGCGCTCACAGTCTCGGCCTCCTCCGTCTCACCCGCCTGGGCCTCCCGCAGGGAACGGCCCAGACCCGCGGCAAACCTCTGCACACAGCTCCAGTGTTTGCCTGCGGAAGAGGGATGGGCAGGGGGAAGAGAGGGCAGATAAGCCCCGTGGGCACAGCCAGCCCTGATGCTCCCACAGGCACCGCCCCCTCATCTGAGCCCCTCCACCTGTCCCCACGCACTCTGGATCTCGATGACTTTTTCTAGCGTGGCCACTGCATTGGTGTTGGGCTTTTGCTGCAAGACTGCCTCATCCAAGGGCTGCAGCTGGCAGGGAAAAGAAGAGAAGGCTTAGGGTGGGGAGTGGGGTGGCACTGCCTGCCCCTCCAACTGCCCCATTCAGCCCCAGACATCCCTTATGACAGAGGCAAGCATAGCCTTTTTGGAGGAACCCCTACATAGAAAGCCTTCCTGGCCACCAACTATCCTTAGGACCCAAGAAAATCTTCCCAAGGGGCCCAAGCTCTGGCCCAAGTGCTACTTGACCCAAAGAAGGGGACATCCCCTCACCTCTACGCTGAGCAGAGCCGAGACACAAGCCTCAGAGGCATCACAGATGGCGGTCAAGTCGTGGCCTCCCTCCAGGGCCAGCACCACCCGGCCCCCTGCCAGTGTCATCAACTGCCTAGTCAAGTGGCCAAAACCTTTGAGGATGGGTGAAGGGAGAAGAATGAAATGGTAAAAAATAATTCAAGAGACAGTAAGAAAAGAGCGAAAAAGAAACACATGAGATGGGACAAACAGCATAAAATAAGAGTAAATATAAACCCAAATATATCCATAAGAAAATGTAATGTCAATGGACTAAATGCTCTATCAAAGACAAATCATTGACAGACTGGCCGAAAGTTCTAAGGATACGCTGTCTTACAAGGAACGTCACTGAAACACCAGTGATCAAGAAGCTCCCTCCTATGGTTCCAGCAGGAGATACATCCTCTGCTACCCCTGCTTCTACCTGCTGACCCCCAAGGCCAGGTTGGCAGAGGGAGTGTGGGGGGGTCTACCTGGATGATTCCAAGTCTTGGCCCTGCCCCCTGCCCTCCTCCTCTCCTGCAATATGAGTCTATTCCCTGTCCCGCGTCCCACTCGTCTGTCCCCCTCCTTCAGTCCCCGAGCAGGCTCACATCTGGCGGTGACAGAGTAGCCACCCAGTGGAGACAGATGTCCTTCAACAGCATCAAACCCGGCGGAGACTAGGACCACGTCAGGTGAGAACTCGTGGGCAATGGGCATCACCACTGTCCTGCAAAGGGATGGCCCAAGCTGACCCTGGCAGATGGCAGGGCCAGGCCTCGCCCCCCTCCGTTCTCTCAGAGACAACCCTGCTCCACCCACAATGAACTGAGTGCCTTCTGCCCTCCCACTGCAGGGCCCGGGGCGGGGTGCCCCCTTCTCGCTCCCCACCTGAAGGCCGTCAGGTACTCCACGTCTCCGATGGGGGGGTCTACACCTCCTGTCCATGCCACGTTCACATTGTACCCCACGCCTGGCCCTCCACCAACCTAGGAGCAGTGTGGGGAAGGGGGTTATTCTCACTGCTGGGGATCCCAGGCATTGCCCCCACCCCCATCCCTGCCTCCAGGCCTCTCTGCACTGACCTCTGCTCTGCCCAGAGGGGCAGTCAGACCAGTGTGGTCCTCCCACTAGGAGCCCATACGCCCCAGGTACCAGCACCACCATGGGCCTCCACGGCTCCCCGCCAGGTCCCACTGTGCTACCTCCTGGAGAGGCCTGCGTTTAGGCCCAAGAGCTGTACCTCTTCAGGAGCCCCGGAGCCTGGAAAGAAGTTCCCATTGTCATAGCGGTGCAGGGAGATGTAGAGCACAGAGGGGTCGTTGTAGAACGCTTGCTGGGTGCCATTGCCATGGTGAATGTCCTAATGGGGAAGTGGAAGCATAAGGAAAATGGCCCAAGCTCTGACCCAAAGGTCAAAAATTCCACCTGCCCCTACCCAACCCTGGGGTGAGCTCTGGGGGTGCAGCCGACCACTGGCCACAGGGCATTTGTATTCCACTGGCAACGGTACTGCCCGCCTCACACTTCTCAACTTGGGGTCTGCAAATCTGTGATGTGGCGCCATGCCGGGGATAGACAAAGCCGTGGGATAAATGTGGCGTGTCTCCCTGCAGAACCCATTCCACTTCAGTTTGAGGGGAAACATTAAAGCTAGTAGGAAATTTAAAACAAGCAGATAAAATTCTAAAGAAGGATCCAACATTTACATGAATTTTTAAGCCAAAACTGGGCTTCAAAGAGATCTCACCCTTACCAAGGATTGCTCTGGCTACTTCCCCAGCTCCCAGCAAGTGGCGTGTGCCTTTCCCTCTGCCATTAGGGACAGGGTTTGAGAAGCACCCACAGTAGCAAGAGCAGAGTGCTGGGGCCAAAAGGTCTGGTCTGAAACCCACCGCCAACGTTCCCAGCTAAGTGACCTCAGCAAGTCATCCATTAGTGCCTTCATTTATAGAAACGGACATCCTAGTTCCTACTACTTGAGGTGGCCATGAGCAGCTCACATGTCAAGTACTCATTGGGTTCCCGGCACACGGTCAGCCTCCAGTAGAGGCGGCTGGGGGAGAAAAGCAGCCACTAGCGATGGTGGTGGCATCTCTACTGTCCAAGGTAGGAAATCCCCTCTGTTGCTTGAGGTTGCAGGGTGGGGGCCAAGGACGAACAGTCCCTCACAGTGAGGAGGGAGCCCTACTGGGCTGATGATCTGGCAGGAGGAACGCAAGGCTGGGCTTCGGGATGAGACACCGTGGTACCTGAGGGAGCCGGGGCTGCCTGGCGGGGGGCTGGAGAGGACTCCCTGAAGGCCGATCCTGGTCCCAGCTCTAACCACCCTGCCCAGCCTCACCAGCCCACTGCCTACCCAGTCCACGATGAGGACCTTGCCCACGTTCAACTTCTGCTGCAGGAGTTTGG